AATAAATTATTGATATATAATAATAATCATAGTGATTATATAAGTGACTGGGTTTACATCTACTCTAAGGACAAGACTTCCGCTTTAAATTCCCTCCAAGATGACACGTGAGGCCCGTTATCCCTGTTTTAACATCTCTTTGATGCTGGACAATGAATGACGACTGATTTAACCAATAGGAATGTCAGCTGAAGGTCATTCTTTGATCCCATTATAAAGCATCATTGTAAAGTCTTATCCTGAAAGGAATACAGTTGAAGAAACCCTTCAGCTCCCAGCACAGGGACCTCTCATTGGGCTCCTGGAAGTGAACGGGTTATGAAGCAGGAGATGGTGGGAGCAGATCTTGTGCCGTTTCCAGCTTTTTTTGGCTCCGGTTTATTCCCAGCTTGCTCGTTCTGGCAGCCGCCATGCCGAGAGGATCCAGCCCCTCACTAGAACACATGACTCTACCAAACCCCCCATCCCTTCCCATTGCCTCTGGTCTATAACTATATCCCAATTAGGGACACAAGATCTACCAAACTTCCACAAACAAGCACATCCAGTCCTGCATTCAGGGCAGAGCTCCCAGTGATCATGCTTCAATAATCTTTCTATTAGCTATGAAAATCAGACTGAAGGATAAATCAGGATCACATGGCTAACTTGGATAAAACGTCGCTGTGTAGAGAGGTTCATAGGAGATTTCACTGAAATGTCACATTTTCTAGCCCAAAATCTTTACTGAAACAAAAAGTCATCCTTGTTCACCGATCAACAGCATTCAATATCTTAAGTTTTTTAACGCCTTGAAGTCCGCGGTGTTACGCCCCCCTTCCTGTCCCGGCCATTTTTCAGTATGCATCGCTGCGGTACTTTGACTGACGTTTATTCCGTCATGCAGCGCTGTACTGAAAAAAAATTTGGGGACAGAAAGAGCTTTGTTTTGGTGGTATTTAATCCCCACTGGAGGTTTTATTTTTTACTATATAACAAAAAAAGTACCCTAAAATTTGTAAAAAAACAAACCTGTTTCCCTATGATATGTTATGAAACATATTATCACCCCAATTTTGTGGTCAAATATAAAATACTGGGTCACGTCAGGTAAAAAGACACCAAACATGTCAAGCTTTCAAATTGCGCGTGCCTGCGAAATTGCAGAAAAGGACTACACCCAAAATTGGCCATCGGCGACGCTTTAAAAGGAGAACTATGGAGTCAGTGCTTTTCCCCATAGTTCTCCTAAGGGTCACACGAGGACATAAACTAGCGTCCTCCCGTCACCCAAAGCTCAGTATACTGGTATACTGAGAACGCCGCAGCCGGGACCGATCCCGACATTACTGTCGAGATCCACCTAGCTGCCTTATTGACAGCTGGCTCTGCCCATCTAGAGGCAGAGCCAGCTGTACATGCCCCTTCCCCCATACGTTCCTTTAGTCAGCGCTGGAGGATCGGACAGGGGAGGGAGGGAATCCCTGCAGGGAGCCGTGAGTGACAGCCACGACTCTCTGCAGGGATAGAACGAGAAGTGAGCGAGCGACGGTATGCGTTCGCTCACCTCCTGATCTATTGAGCCGACGTGTGACAGTTTCATTGTCACACGTCGGCTCGAACTATGAGGTTGAGTGAAAATCACTCACCTCATAGATCTCCTTTAAAAGCTTTTACCGCTCATCAGTTTAGTGTTATCAGTGATTGATGGCCCTAGAAATATTGCTCTCACTCCGACGTTCGCGGCGATATGTAACATGTGCGCCATAATAGGCTGAATCGTCTTTTCCGCACGTTGGCGCACCAGCCGCATGTTTACGTGTGTATGTGGGGGGTGGCGGGGACTTTTTAAAAAAATTTGTGTTATTTTACATTTGTGACTATTTTTTTAGCTTCTTTATTTATTTAATGCTTTAATTTTTTTTAAACTTTTTTTTTTTTTTACACCTAACTTTATTGCTATCACATAGGGGACTTAGAAATCCCCTATGTGATAGCCAATTCACATGACAGGTACTCTTTATGGAGACATCAGGGGTCTCTAAGACCCCTAATGTCACCTAGGGACCCCCAGAGAAGCTGATGAAGCAGAGATCTGCTTCATCAGCTTCTCACCGGTGTTCTGTTCCGGAGTAGGAAGTGATGTAATATACATCACTTCCTGCATTCGGAAACAGGAGAAGAGATCAAAAGGAGATCGTGCCGGTCCCAGCCGCACCGGGCACAGCGGATCTCGGGACCGGCGGCAGCGAGGACGAGGTATGGGAGGGCGCACACCCGCAGCTCTTGCAAGCGATCGGGCGTCTCTAGAGACGCTCGATCGCTTGAATGTAAACAGCCATCGCTGGCTGTTTACATTGCTAACACTTCCCTACTCGTGTGCGCGATGAGACACCCAGGGTTAAGCTTCCAATTCTAATTTACATTTTGTTGCCTCAGGAAACTCAACATACAATAGGACCATCATTTGTAGACACCTGACCATTACACCATAGGATCTTGTTGGACATCCCATTCCAAAACCACGACCATTGCTGTGAAGTTGGCCTTCTTTGTGGCTATACTATCTCCACTCTTCTGGGAAGGCTTTCCGCAAGATTGGGGAGGGTGTCTATGGGAATTGGTGTCCTTTTGTGAGGTCAGGTACTGATGTTGGATGAGAAGATCTGGCTCACAATCAGCATTCCAACTCATCCCAAAGGTGTTCAGTAGGGTTGAGGTCAGGGCTCTGTGCAGGACACTCGAGTTCCTTCACACCAAGCTAGCCAAACCATGTAATTATGGAGCTGGCTTTGTACACAGGGGACAGTCATGGTGGAACAGAAAAGGGTCTTCACCCAACTGTTACAAGGTTGGAAGAGCAAAATTGTCTACAATGTCTTTGTATGATGTTGTATTAGCAGAGCCTTTCCCTGGAGACACCTGAACACCATTATTTGGAGGAGAGACCACAAACTTATGGATGTATAGTGCAAGTATTAAAGCCATCATTTGGAGGGAGGTCCACATACTTATGGAGCTGGCTTTGGTTCTAGGCAGAGCAGAGGCTTGAAGTTCTGACCTCACTTTAATGAGGTCAGCTGAGAGAGACTGCAGCATAGTTTCACTCGAGTTCCTGCACAGCAAACTGGTCAACTTTATGGAGCTGGCTTTGTACACAGGGGACAGTCATGATGGAACAGAAAAGGTTCTTTACCAAACTGTGACCACAAGATTTTAGAGGGTGTCTATGGGAATTTGTTTGCATTTGTGAGGTCAGGTACTGATGTTGGATGAGAACACCTGGCTCACCATCCGTATTCCAAGTCATCTCAAAGGTGTTCAGTGGGGTTGAGGTCTCACTCGACTTCCTCCACACCAAACTGGTCTTTATGGAGCTGGCTTTGGACACAGGGGACAGGCATGGTGGAACAGAAGAGGATCTTCACCAAACTGTTACAATGTTGGAAGAGCACAATTGTCTACAATGTCTTTGTATGATGTAATATTACCAGAATCTTCACTGGAGAAGCCTGAACAGCATCAAATGGAGGGGGACCACCTAATTTTGGCCATATAGTAGGTGGGACGGTCAGGTCTCCCCAGTCTATGTTCACATAATGCACCTCTTTATAAAGTAGGAACTTTTATTCTGAAACTCCTTGTGGGTTTTTTTTCTGAACCTCGATTGAAAAACAACAAATCTAGTCTCTGTTCCTACAGCTTTCCCTGCACAGGGGGTTCCTGAGCCTGCAGACAGGATGTGGAAGTACCTTAGTGAGTCCAATTTGATCCTTGCGGAAAGTCTCCAGGGGTTTGATCAGGATGTTATCTGCGTTCTGAAGCTGCAGTGGAAAGGAAAACATACACAAATCAGACAGAAAACAAACCTTTGATGGAATGAATGGATGTCTTCGGCCAGATTTACACCAGACGTGGATGGATGAGCCTTTAGGAAGTGTGTGACACCTATGGGGTCTGTGTCTGTATA